CTTTATAGGCCTGAAATTTTGGGTACACGAAAAGCTTCCAGAATATCGTCAGACATAGATGTGGACAATCCGGAGCCAGAACAGATTGCTGCTGCTTATATTAAAGCCGTACGTCAAGCACGTGATATTGGAACCACATATACTCCAGTACTTCAATATGATTATCGTCGTCCTGCAATTGTTCAGGGTCCAAACGATGCAAAATCGAAACGTTTCGCTGAAATGGAAAAATATACTCATTTTAGAGCAATCTACTTTGGTGCTGAAATTTTATGTGAAGATGATATAGTACGTTTGATCCCCGATAAGAGTGCTCGAAGAGGAAAAGGCTCATCATCAACCGGTAGAAAGACTGACCATAGATCATATTTACAAATTACTGGTATCTATAAACATCCAAAAAAAGGAATCTATTTAACAGGTGATATGTATAATCGAGGAAATTTATTAGAAAATAATAAATATCAGTGGTTTCCGGTGAATGAGGATGATGAAGAGTATAATATAGACTTGTCTGAAGTTGCTGGTCGATTTTATCCAATGTGGCCAGATCACACTGAAATCATGCCTTGTAAAACTACCAATGTGTTACAAAAAAGACGAGCGATGACTGGTGAAGATGAATCGACACTTACTACTGACTTTTGGTTGTCTCTTAAACCTGAAGAAATTGATTCTGATGATTCGATGAGTCAATCTGAGCTATCCGACCTTTCACATTCGACGCAACAAACCAGGAAACGAACAATACCTTTCGATCATCCACTAGATGAATTACCTAAAAAACTCAAGACCGAAGTTTCAAACCCTGAAATCAAAATTGACATTTTATTACCGACATCAAATATACCTGATAGTGAAAATGATTATACTTTAACCAATAATGTTACTTCCGAAACATCCGGTTGTCTTGATACCGTTTCTCCTGATACTCCAACTTTTGAAACTTATGAAAATGAAATTGATGATGAAATGAAATCTGTTGAAGTTAGTCAAATGTAAGTGTAACGGTTTAATTTTGAAATTTGTCAAAATTCAGAAACTTTACTACAATCAACCATGTTTCACGTTTTATGATGATTATCGCAAACGATTCTATATCATAATGTGGATTATAGAAATCAACTATTAGCCATATCCTACCACGCTTTTTAAACGATTTTCATAAAGCTTAGTAAATTCATGTGAATTTTCATTCATATCAGTGAGAATAATGTATTCAATTAATTTTAATTGTATATTAACCTTTTTTTGTTTATATTATCCACATGTAGATCATCGCAATCGAACGATGAACGTAGCTCGTATATACAGAATAGAACGATACAGTATAGCGCGCCTACTGAAACGCGCTTCGGCTATTCTAAAACTAGATGCAGCCTTTGCTGACAAGAAGAGTGTTAGTCTTTCATTCTGTAAATAGACATAAAGATCACGCAATAAGCATAGAATATCATAAGCAAGTGTTTTTGTCAATAAGGAGATAGAATAGATGATTTCTGGGGTAATTCTAGCAATCGTGATTGATAGTTGCAAATTATAGATTTGGAATAATGGATACATATCTTCATAAATTGAAAAAAATTTTGTCATTGAAGCATTTCATTAATATATTTTTCCGGTTCACTTATTGTTCTAGTACAATTTCAATGTATTTATTAATGAAATGGTTCGCAACAATTAAAAAATAAAAATTTATAGATTTTTGGTTTGGTTTTATTGAAATGCACTATATACAAATTGTATAAAATAGAAAAAAAAACCAGAAATATATTAATCCTATTAGACCGGTGTAATTTGTCTTAGTCAAATTTTACTTAAGATGCAGAATGGAGACCTAATTAATAAAATTGATTATTAATCCAAAAAAAATGCATTACCTGAATGCAAAATTTTGGACTCATTTTCCCATCGTTTTTTTTTAATTAACATAAACCAATAATATAATGATAGGGCTAAAATTTTAAAGAAAATTTCGATCTGCATCATAATTTGTAAAATTTTACTAATACTTTTTTTTTTTTTAAGTTCTAAAATCTAACGGTGGTTTAATAGTATGGCTCAAACTAGAATCATAACTCTTAAAAGTTAAGTCAAGCCATACAAGCTGTTAAAGCCCTATAACTTATACTGTATACTCGATCTTCGGAAATCTTGGGTCGGATCTAGTTTTCTCTGGGCCAAAAATAAATTTCCGGGCTTAGTCTTAATTTAGAAAGCCTTGTTTTACGGATATCTTTCTAACCAAAACTTATACCTACAGTAGCTATAACTTGATAGGCACTATATAGTATAACCTCAACTAGGAAGATTGTAGTTATAACTATACATGCCGACGAAATTATTTTGGGGTCTAAAACCCGAAATTAAAATTTGAAGATGAAATTGTTTTTGACCTATTTTTACTTAAAAGACAGGATTTTTTAACACTTTTTTTGAAGAGACGAAATTATAAAGAACATAATTACTTAAATTAGATTTGCTCTTGCATATAAAAAATTCTAATTTGCTTTAATAGAGACAAAATAAGGTTTTTTTGAAATCTATTTCAGTAGCATGTATAGTTATAACACAAACAGAATTTGAATTTTTTTCATTAGTAGGATTTGAACTCTAGATATACTGCTTGAAGAGTAACAACTTGACTATTTTATTAAGTCATTATATTCTGATATATAATATTTTAAGGGAATTGTTATTTGCATCATGGATTTTTGTTATTTTAGTCAGAGAATATACCAAATAAGAAAATGTTCTAGAATGATTTATATATTAATTCTTGAATCTGGTTGGCTCTTGCACACTTATTTATTATTATTTTTTGGAAATTTTTTGTTTATTTATTTATTTTTTTTTAACTTAGGTAGTCTTGCCAGTGATCCTTTATTAAGATTATTTTGTTATAGGTTATATAAAATGTTGAGCTTAATATTTAGGCCTGACATTCCATAGTTACTTTTATAAGCACTTATAAGTAACCTGCTGCACTAGGCAGAAACATTCACAAGAGATATATATTGATAAATCTATAGAAAATCTAAAGACCACCTATCCTAGAAGGTTATATCAGATCACTATCCTACAATAAGATATCACCAATCTGATGACATCTTCTCATAGAGAAGTAATAAAAAGAAAAAAATATTAACACTAATATTAATACTAAAAAGAGGAAAGGAGAATATTGAAAGAAAAAAGAGTTTGACAGTCACAATTATAAGTCTGTGTCAAGCTAACAAAAATTACATATTACAAAATAAAGAAGCTTTGTATCTAACTTTATTCTAATATAGTAATATGTTTATCTGACTACAAAAAAATAAAAACTAATAGATTTAAACTAAACTAGACTAAGCTAGACAGAGTAGTTAGTAAATACTAATAGTCTTAAAGTATTGTTAAACAGTTTCTTTCAATCTAGGCACATTGCCTATATGTGTTATTCTTCAGATATACTTGGTTGTTTAATTTGGATATTTATTGATTTTATATTTACTAAAAGTAAACCTATTTTAAAAGATAAACAATACTGACTGTTTTAAAAAATTATATATTGATCTTTTAGAAGTAATAAGCTGAGACACCCACTTTTTGACAAAATTTTTTCAAAAAAAATGGTAAATCAATGAAATTTTGTGGGTTCTTCCTTATATATATAAATTCTTAATTAAGAAATAATAGTACAGTGAAAAAACAAGTTTTCAAGTAATGCTTGTTATTTTCCTACTAAGAAAATAGTAAGCATTACTGAAAACTTATTTATTCACTAATAAAGATTGTATATTGTATAGATTTAAGAGATAGCTTATTTTCAAAATAAAAAAATTACTATTTTTTTTGGCTTGAAATTATGAGATAGCTTATTTTCAGGTATTAGAGGTTTTTAAGTTTTTTGCTTAAAACCAAAGAAGTAGCTTATTTTCAGAATAGCTTATTTTCAGAAATATACAGTAGTTTTTTATTTTAAGTATACTTCAGATTTTTAAAAATTCTACAATAACAACTTATAATTATAATATTGATTTATTTATTCAAAAATATACTTACAAAAACTTTTCTATTTATTCATATTTATATTAACTTTATATCTATCTTTAGGCCTTTTCTTTTCCTTTCTATAACTAATGGTAGTTTAACTTAAATTAGTTTTTAAATAGAAAATGAAGAGATGATTTACTACACTTAAGTAATTATACAAGATATAATAGATGACTTGCTACACTTAGATAATTATACAAGATATAATAGTTAGTTTAAATTAATATCATCTTGATATATTCTGTAACTAATCTTATTCTGTATATAGCAAATTCAAAAAAAAAAAAAGTATACTTCAGATTAACAAAATTGGTTCTTTTTGATTACTGTCATTGAATACTACTTTTAATATATATCTTAATTAGCAACTCTTTTTAACAATCATTTGTACCAACTAATTACCAAAAGCAAGTTAAAATTTAAAACTAGAAGTTAATAACAATTTGAAGTTTTCTTGATATAAACTGTTGTTAATGAAGTTTTTAAATATAATATACTGAGGAGTAGATGTTTTAGACAGTTTGCAAAGAGTTTAAGCCTTATTCTCATTTTTTTTCAAATAGATTTTTCTTTGCATTTGGCATCCAAACTGAAGAAGTCTCTAGAAACAGCAAGTAAAAAAGAAAACTCAAGGTGTTTGGAGATAGAAGGCTATACCGTATTGTCGCAAAATAACGCGCAGGGGTGAAATTACGAATTTTGGCCTAAATTAAATTTAATTCAGGCCAAAATTCGAAATAATGCTCATGGGCATTATTACGCGAAAATACAGTAAAAAATTCTTAAAACAATATTTTTTGGTTGAAAAACTTGCAAAATTATAATATTTCTTTGCTATTATTTTTTTTATAATTTTTATCAAAAAATGGAAAATTTAACTATCTCTTCCAAAAAATCAGCATTGTTTATCATTCTATTTTCAAAAAGTCTTGAGTTGCAATATAATGAATAAAAAACATAACAATTATATATAAGAAATAAATTATAAACAATCTTTGAATCAAAAATTGTAAGTAATATATATCTTTTTTATATTAAATATAGCCATCAGATAGCTCTTTTTTCAAAATATACTTTCTTGGTATATTTTGAAAAAAGAGCTATCTGATAGCTATATTTGATCTAAACAAGATATATACAGTCAGACCTCGTTATAGTCACTCTTGATATAGTCACAACCTTGTTATAGTCACGCTATTTCTTAATCCTAGACATTAATAAACATATAAAATTTGACCTTAATATAGTCACACTTTTTTATAATCACCAAATATTTGTTTCCCAACCTGGTGATTATATCGAGGTCTGACTGTATTATTTATAATTTTTGACTCAAAGATTGTTTATAATTTATTTCTTATATATAATTGTTATGTTTTTCATTCATTATATTGCAACTCAAAATTTGTTGAAAATAAAATGATAAACAATGCTGATTTTTTGGAAGAGATAGTTAAATTTTCTATTTTTTAATAAAAAAAATAATAATAATAAAATATTATAATTTTACAAGTTTTTCAACCAAAGAATATTGTTTTAAAAGTTTTTTATAGCCTTCTATCTCTAAACACCTTGAGTTTTCTTTTCTACTTGTTGTTTCTAGAGACTTCTTCAGTTTGGATGCCAAATGTAAAGAAAAATCTATCTGAGAAGAAATAAGAATAAGGCTTAAACTTTTTGCAAATTGTCTAAAACACCCACTCCTTAATATATTATATTTAAAAACTTCATTGACAACAGTTCATATCAAGAAAACTTCAAATTGTTATTAACTTCTAGTTTTAAATTTTAACTTGCTTTGGTAATTAGTTGGTATAAATGATTATTAAGAAGAGTTGCTAATTAAGATATATATTAAAAAAGAAGAAGGGACGTAAGCTAATAAAAAAAATTTAGATAATAAATAATACTGCTCTAACACTACATTGATTTTGACTAATAAAATTAATAATCTGTAATATAATATCAAAATAAAATACAATATAAAAATCAAAACAATCTTTGTTGTTTTTTTAAAAAATCTTTAATAACTCAAAATTTTGCTTATGAAACCAATTTTTGTATTTTAATAAAAAATTTCTTACACAATTTTAATATATACTAATCTTTAAATACAATTTTAGCTATAACCCTAATCCTAATATAAACTAAATTTTAAATTGTCTTTTTTTAATTTTTTATTTATTGTGACAGATTAAAATAAAATCAGATTAAAATAAAAGATAGTATAAAATAAAAAAACTACCGAAAAATGCAAATTTTTGAAATACATTTTTTTTAGTATTTTTTTTAGAATTAGGGTTTAAAAGCAGGTTTTATAATAAACAAGTATAAGTGAGTTTTAGAGGATTAAATATAAACCTCTTATTTTATTTTAATTCGATTTCATTATGATCTGCGACATTTGTTTTGATAATGAACTTCATGTTATACAGCATACATATATAACTGGTGTTAGCATCACAGAAGTGTATTAACATAACTAAATTTTAAATTAAAATTTAAAAAAAAGTAAATTATAAATATACTACTATATTTATAACTTTCTAAACAAATTTTGTTTAAAAAATCTACAAATTAAAAAAATATATTTATAAACTTTAAAAAAGCTTATTAAACACAATTCAAGTTTATTCAAATTTCAATTTAAATTTAATTAAATTTATACTGTAATTTAAACCAAACCAAACAAACAAGTTCTACTATTTATACATATTATATATTTTTGCAAAAAAAAGTAAAACTTTTACTTTTTTTAAACCTATTATCAATGTTTTAACATAATACAAAATGCAAAAGTAGCGATAAAATTTACACTTTATATAGCACGATAAACGCCATCTAATCTTTTGTCAAAAGTAATGCAAATGATACAATCCACCAATTTTGTCTTTGAATTATTTATGACCGCCACTATATAGTATTAGAAAGTTTCCCCATCAAATCCGACAAATCCCTATTTATATAAGAAAGTATATAATGAATAATAGATAAACGCCTACAACTACATTATTGATAAAGGAAGTCACACATACCGTTAATAAAAACACCGGGAAATATGTCTTTTTTTCGATTAACGAACACCAGTTCCAGGCACTTGTTAAACGTCCATCAATACAACTTCCAGCATCAAAGAAATTGTCAGCCCCACTACCATCAAAAGCATATCGGAAAAAGTCTGCAAGAATTTTTTTAGTGAGTTCCTCAACACCTCCAAAATAATCCTTAATATAGGAGTGGATACCAGAATTTTTTTCAACCAAAGGTCTGATATTATCAAGGCATATCAATATTGGGTTTAATATGCGTGAAACTTGATTGTACTAATATGGAACCCAAATTTAGCTTAATATATTGTAATACATAACAAAATATTATAACACACTATTCTTTCACAAACCTTATCAATAAACATGAGTGCATTTGGTACATTTTTATCGCCTAGATGAATAACTGAACTTCCAACCCAATAACCTGCTTTTTGTTGAGCACGATGTAGAATTGTGCGCATAGCTTTCGAAACAGATGGACAATCTTGAACTCTGTTCAAGCCTTGACCAGTGTCTCGTAATCTATAGAGATTAGTTTCTGATAGCATATCACGGTCAGCTAAAAACCAAAGCATAAACATTTCATTCTGAATCTCGCTCCAGAGTGACAATGTTTGGTTGCTACATTCAATTTAAGTAATAATGATAACCATGAAAAGTAGATTTAGTAAATCATTCAAATATATATATATATATATAAGCATGTATGTGATTTTACTCACGCATAACAATATTGCATTTCATGATTGTGTGTGAGACGTGCACCGTTGCGTCCAGAAGAAATGGCCAAGGAATAACCATCTCTGACCTCTCTTGGATGAAAGTGATCTATCAAATGTTTGAGCATACGGTCACAGCAATCACTGTGAAAAATTTTGATTGGTTTTTTTTTTTTTTTCATGTAAAGACTCGCATATTTTTTGTAAAAATAGTTACCGATTTGCCCTTAAATAAGAGTTGTTATCACCAATGCTATATAAACACGTTTTTATGTCGTCGGATGGTAGCTTATGACTAGAATATTGATGACTTAATCTTTCAACAGCCCTTTCTTTTTGTCTGATCTCACTATTTATTTGGTATCTCGTTTTTCCCTCCGGTTTAATTTCCCTGGTAGCAATAGCAACTTTTTCATCATAAAGCAACTCAATACCATCTCGCTCCTCAAGAAAATTGTAAACAGTTTTTATTGGTTTGACCAAATTAAAAGAAAGCAATGATTGAACTTCCGGTAGTATAGAGTCCTATATGAACCATATTTTAAGTACAATAATATATGATTTAGGATTAGATTATAAAATTTATCATACCATTAACATGTACATCAGTTTTCCATAAGCATCCCTCATTTTTTCTGGGTTCATTATTTTGTGCCGCCTCCCTATTTCAAAAATATCTTGAAAGAATTGTTCATGTTCTTCATACATCTTATTCGCGAACATTTCTTGACCTTTTTTATAGTCACTAAATTAACAACTTGTTAAACTCGTAATAACAAAAACATATATACGCACATGATAAAGGAATTTATTTTTACCTTGCAACCTGAAACAATCATAATTTAAAACACGGTACGTTTATTAATATATATATATATGTGTATTGTAAAAAAAAATTACAAAAGTACGATTGTAATCGATTGCCAACAGTCTATCGATTATCATCGATAACGGTGATAGTAATCGATATAAATCAAATTGATAATCGATTAAAATCAACATGCACAAAACCGATTAAGAGCGATTTAAAACGATTAAATTAAATCGATTATAATCGATGCCTCTATTTATATCAATTATATCAATTATATAAATTATATCAATCGATTTTAATCGGTGGTGGTGATGAGAACCGCGGATTTTAAAATTTTTCAATGAGAAATAGTTTAAATACTTACGACTAAACCAGACAAAATGCTGCATAATTCTTTTATCTGTTGAACAATACGGTGTTTTTTGTTTAATGGATGTGATATAATATCGATTTTGTCCGTATATTCTATTTGAAATTGGGACAATTATACTAATGATACAGACAACGAGTTTAAATAAAACAAAGTGAACAAAAAATTTACCAGAAACGTTAAGTGCAGCTTCCAATCTAAATTAATAATTGAAATAATGAGTACAAATATCCTCCAACAAAATTAACAGATTTTGTCTAACAGATAAAAATGGAAATAAGATAAGTACAATCTGAGAAGCTTCCGTTCCTCCATATCCAGCCGGAGGGGAATATATTTAGAACGTTCCACTAGGCGTTTTCCGAACGCCATATCGTCTCTTGATGAGCTAAATGAGGATGTTTTAGAATCGATGTCCGGATCGTCAAAATAAGGTCCCTATCAAGTTAATATATTGAGTGAAATTCTAAGCAGTGAAGGTGAACATGCGTTTGAAAAGAATGTAATATATTTACATCAAGGCTCGTATAACCGTTTGAAGTTTTCTGCGAAACGGATTCAACACCCTGGGTGCCATTTTCTAGTGCATCGTTGCTGCTTTGTTCATTTTTTAAATTTTTTTTTGTATGCTTCTGCCGAGTTCCTGTGCGATGAATCATAGCAAAACATACTTCACAAAAATCTTCATTACATTGCTCACAAGAAAATGAAGCTTCCTGAAAATATATGTTCAAACGCTAATAGGTTAACACAGAAATTGAAAATGACAATGCCCATAGATGCGTAAATAATCGTATATTTGTTACCTGATCTCGACACTCAACACATAGACCCTCCGGTATCGGAGCGAAAGCATTCTCTTGTTCTAATTCTTGATCATTATCAGTCATTGCTTCATCGTCCATGTAGGTCTCACCGTCTTCACGCCCTAAGATTTCATCCAGTTTTTTCCTTTTAATTCGACCACTTTCACTATCTGATTCATATCGTAATGACCCACTGTTTATCATATCAACATCCTCCACAGATTCATGGTTATCGTGATTAAACATTCCATTATTATTAGTATAATCAAACATTTGTCTTTCTCCATTTAATAATAACTTCTGATTTTCGATATGATTATCATAATGATTTTCATCGTTATGATACCCTCTATTGATACTCTCTCTTTTATTATGCTTTCTATTATTTTCGTCGCTATCCTCCTCCTCTTCTTCATCGCGTCTTCTCCTGCTATCGTCCTCTTCGTGATTTTCCTCGTTATCAGACGTTTCGTGATGGCGGTGCGAGGATCCAGAAAAAAGGTCCTTTAAGTCCTTTAAGTCCTCAATATCAGTGCTATTGTTCTTGAGAATCTCATCGTCTTCATTGTCCTCAGTCTCAGTCTCTAAGTAGTTAGCCATACCAGTAATGGTCGATGCTTGGGATATTTGAGAGTCAGTGTGAGGAAGGCTAGGTTGGTTGTCTCTGTAAGAATTAGCATCTTCAGAAACTTGATTAGGATTACAATCTGAAGTATTTTCAGGATTCTGACTCATCGTTGGAAACGGAAGAAGATCGAAATCTCCGAAACTGCTATTTTTTTTTTTTACCCAAATATATATACATTTACATATACACACATATATACATATATATATACATATATATATACGCTTAAATGACAATAGGTCTTTTCGGACTTTTGGGTAGTGCAACAAATTTGTTTAGACAATGAAGAATTTCCGAATTTAGTCTGAGTGACATTGAATTTGAGCCACGTATTATGTCAAAAAAAAAAAATATTTATTTATTGCATAACTATTTAAAGATCTGTTTTTTTTGTAAATTCTGAAATTGTTTAATTTGTTTACTCTAATTGACTGTTGTACAGGCGTCGCTTAATAATGTCACCTTCTGACAAAATTTATTTTTTCAATTTACATACCAATATTTCTTATGGACTAAGCGACACGTGGTATTAACCAGGCTTTAACGTTAAATGCTATGCCAATTAGGTACATTGCTAAACTTAACACATTAATATATATATAATTAATTGTCTTTAATCTTGATGTAGATCTGCTAGACTAAACCGATAACCGATAAATTAAATGGTTTGTCTATTTAAGAAATCGATTTGTATATAATATATAATAAAATAAATTGTATAAATCAAGATCCTCTAAATAAAGTAGAGATCTGTCCGAGTCGATTCGCATCTTTATGCTTCACTTAACCCGAATTTTATTAAAGTCACTCTCGTTATAGTGAAACAATCGGGCTGAGAGTTTTTCTTCACTATATCACGAGTCTATTAGTAAATTCACTACATCGAATTCATTAGAGCAAGAGATTCACTATGACGAGAGTGGTTTGTATTAGGAACCTTACCAATTTACTATCGCTACGTATTGAGTATGGTTACTATAAATGATAATTTCGTTTACTTTATTAACTTATTATTAATCTTATCGTTATTAATGAAAATGTGCAAAAAAAAAGGTTAAATACTGTACGTAATACAGTAATTGTAAAAGTAAATAAATGCCGAAAATAACTTGGCGGTGCGATCCACGTTACACCTGATTGGTCAAAAATCACTGGACTTTGGCGTAGTCGGCGGAATCCTACAATGGGCGCGCGTTAAACATCATTGGATTGTACGTATATAGTAGTTTTAAATAAATTGATTATTAAATAAATTGATTATTAATTGATTTGTAAATTAAAACTCACGTGCCACACATAAAATACTACGAGGCTTTGAACCTCTTTTTTTTTTTATTACTGACACATAATGCAAGCCACCAATAAGTTGCATTTTAAAGCATATAAAATTACCTTTTTTGATACATTTCATTTATAAACATGGTAAATGAAAATATGAATCTATAAAAAGCTTATCTTTAAAAGGAAAAATTTTTTACACTTTCACAAAATTTTAGTTATTTTTTTTTTTTTTTTTAGTAGACCCAATGCAGTTTTATTCAACAAAAAATAAACATTAAATTCGTACTTTCATTATTAACCAGTTATGAATCAAATAATTTACAAATTTATATTGCAGAAATTCCGTAATTATGACTTGAAACCTTCGCACACTAAATATCACATGAAAAGGATATCATATGAATTGTAAGTATCGTATATATCGAATAAGTAGATTACATGAGTATCTGATAAAAATCGATTAGTCAATTTAAAAAGAAGAAAAAAAAAAATCAGCCAAACACAGATTATCTACTACGATGTGATTTTCTTCTGTCCCTTTCCTTATCCAAATCTCGCTCTCGTGATCTAGACCTTAACCTATAATAGCGACTATCAATTTCTGATTTCTTTCGATCTCTTGATTTGGACCGACTTCTCATGCGATCGCGAGAAATAGATCTGCTACTTCGACGTGATCGCTTATACCGCGACAGCGAACGATCGCGATGGTATGGTGATCGTGACCGCGAAGAACGTCGACGATACTGTTCATTTAATCTTGGCTTTTTAGACTGTTCTCTATCATCATTTGACTTATTTTGATTGTCTCTTTTTCCATTTGTTTCCTCTTTTGTGTCTTCATTACCAATAATATCATCCCATGCCGCCCAACTTCCGTTATCCAGTTTGCGAATGCATTAAATCACATTGATATAAATTATTGTGTTAAGATTGAATTACGCATACGTTAATAGTCATAAAATTTGCGCGTAGTAATAAATTACAACAAAACAATTATAAGAAAACAAGTCACCGATCATCATCATCCCCTTCTTCCTCCTCCTCCTCATCAAATGTATTATCTTGTTTATTTATGCTGTTCTCTCCATCTTGGCTCAATTCTCGTCTCCTGCCGCTCCCATTATTACCAACTCCGCAATCTTTATTCTTTTTCCTTTTTCTCCCAAATTCATCCCATTCTTCGTCTTTTTCTGCATCTCTCGATCTTCTATATTCTACTACTTCATCACGCTCCATAAATCCTCCTCCACGGCCTTCCCTTGATCCCATAGTGGTTTCTAAACCTGGTTTGGGTGTCTTGCATTGATTACATTCTGCTCTCCTAGCCCAATTTATATTGGAACAACTTAACGCGTTTGCAAAAATTTATTAATTTATATAATCTTATTACAAACTAACGAAAGTTATTATAAATGGTAAAATTTACATTGGACACTTCCAGTCTTTTTCTGAAAATAACCCCTGTCAACCAAATTATCTTTTTTATTTAATGGTCTTCTTTTGATCAATTCCTTGAAACGTTAAACTAACTTACCCCGTAACGATTTGCAAACTCTCTTCCTACCTCATTGGCTGCACTACTTGATACATTGCCAGTTTCGTCTTGGCGGGATCTTCGAGAAGAACCACCCTCTGAATAGTCGCGGTCCCTTTCGTGACGACTGCTTCCGCCCATCTATAGGGGCCTAATCGTTTCAGTTTTATTTTTTTAAGAAAAAAAATAAGAGTTGAATATATTTGATCAATAATTCTGTAATTATGCGTTAAAAACACCTAATGGTTAATGCAAGTGATCAGCGTTAAATAAATGATTTGGTTCACAAGGGTGTCATGATTTTCATGGGTCCGCGTTGGTATCGTGAATAATAAATAAAATCACTTTAGGCCACACAAATTTAATCTATTGGTTTTCATAACATGAAATTTTTAGCCAAAACATAAAAAAATTTTTTTTTTTACAAATTTTCAAATTTTGACCCGGCATGGCCTTATATAAAATAATATAAAATAAATATAGTAAAAGTATAGGTGTATATGAGGAGAGTGGGATTCGAACCCACGCCTCTTACGAGACCACGGCCTTAACGTGGCGCCTTGGACCGCTCGGCCATCTCCCCGATTTGTTAATAGGGTTTTAAATCAAAAATATATATATATATTTATGAGACTACTAAACTTAGTACGTTGCTAATTTTTTTGCTATATACCGATAATTTGTAATTAGTGTAACAAAGAATACCGATCCATCCGACCAACCTTGAACTGGTTGATGCGTTACGCTGGACTAAGCCAAGTCGAAATGGTATTTTTATTAATGCTCGGGCCGTTTTCCACGATAATATGTAACGATATACCAATTTGAAGATGAATTATAACATAGGTATAAGCGAACATCTTCCAAGAGCATGGAAAAAACACTATTAACTATATAAGAATAGTTTCAATAGTAAAGTGGAGCTTTATATGTGGATACTCTAGTACGGAGACTTTCCCTTTTTTATATCACATTTTCATGTCACACCTGCTTTAGATGATCTCCATATTTGGATCCCTCCTCTCCTCCTGTATCAAGGTACATATAAAACTTTTTTTGGTACGTACGTAGCAGTTTAAACCCTTCGAGCTCGGCAAAATTCGTTTTCATGCGCTTGTTTCCTTCTCTTACTAGCCTTCTATGATCATATGATCATTTTACCGTATATAGATCGTACGAGCCGTAATCATTAATATACCTTGATTTCGTTTTTTTTCAATAGCAAGAATGGCAACGTTCGATAGCTTATCTATCAAAATCGAACAAGCAGTCAATCGCTGTCTAGAATCTCAGGAGCAACTTGAAGATAATATCAAAAAATGTCTGGTACCGCTTGCAAATGCAAACAAAGAAATTGTTGATTTAAGGAAGTCAACTCTTGAACATGTCTTCAAAAAGTTATCTGCGAGAATTTCTGTAAATATACAATATTATTTAATAATGTTAGTAATTTTCAATGTAAAGCTCTTTCTAATTTTTTTTTAAATTTTTGTTCATATTAGACATATCCACCTGATCGTCTCATACCAGCCGCATTCAAGCTATTGAATCTTGTTCTAGGATGTCATGAAGCTGAGGGTTGTAAGTGAACTCAGACTTTAAATTTTTATAGCAATAATGTAAATTATTGTTGAGAAATAAAGTAATTAATATTGCTTTTACTTTAGCTTTATGTGAACAAGCCATAACTTTGACGATCTTGGAAGAGTTAATGGAGACGCAACCTCTTGAGGTCTGCGAAAAATTATATAGCTTCTTGGAGACAAACAAGAAAAGATTGCTTGTGGTATGCTAAAATTTGAATTTGAAAATTAATTACATCAATTTATAAAGTTCCATTATCAGTAACTAGATTTTTACTATTCGATCGTACAAAGAATTTGATACCAACACAGGGAAAGGGTCTAATTTTATTAAGACTCTCGAACGAACTAATACGTAGAGCATCCAAGTCAAATCATAATGCATTCCGTGGTAGAATCTTAATATTTCTATCTAATACCTACGCACTTGGTGAAGTTTCAGGCATGTATCAAGTAATTTTTTAATTTAATATTTAAATATAATTGTTTTAATTTGCATGATATGCTAACAATTTCGTGTTTAATAGGTGTTAACAAAGGGGGTGAATGCAATGTTGATAATGTTACACATTATAGCGCGACACAGGATGGTATGGAATTAACTATTCAAATTATTTAGAGACAATCAAAAAAAATTTTTTTTTTTTGTTAATGGATCTGGTTATATCTACATTTTAGGAGATGAAGCTGCATTTTATAATACTTTTTGGAGTCTTCAAACTTATTTTAGCAATCCGCCGAAATTATTCAAAGACAATAATTTGGAAGTTGTTCTTAATGTAAGCTGGTACAACTAGTCAATATCATTCTTTAAGGTTACCTTTCATGACTTAAACGGATCATGGCCAAAAGAATATTGGCATCGTTTTAAATAGGTTTTCCGATATTATTGCTCGTGAAAAACTCAAGACTGCTGAAGAAAATTTAGGGGGAATTCGGAATAATGATTTTGAATATGGGCTTCCTTCCCCTCCAAGTGATGATGGACGTGGAAAGAAAAGAAAATTTATGGAAACTGATGAGGAAGAGTCAATAACTTTTTCTAAGGATTACGTTAAATATTTTCCTAAATATCTGTCGAGTTTTGCATTATTCGATAAGGAGGTACAAATATTTTACTGTCTAAAATTTACTTATTAGTTCTCATTAACAACCACTACAATATTCTTACTTTTAAAGATATCCGATCCAAACTTCCGAAGAATTGTATTAGTACAAATTCTTATTATAATGCAGTATCTTACAGGATTTTTCCCAGAGGAGCAGGCTCGTATTAACAAAGCGAAAGCACCCCACGATACTGCCGCTGTTCAATTACCCACCTATACGATCATGGAACCACAAGTTAGTCATAATATAAATTATCGTTACGAGACATATATCACATTAGATTCTGATTTTACGAAATAATAGCAACATATGGTCCAAGAAATATGGAGTAAAATCATTGGACAACTTGAAGAAACAACACCAAATGGAAAAAATTTTGTTCGAACAATACTGCATATACTTAACATGGAAAAACGATGGAATTATTGGAAATTTGCTGATAATTGCTCTTTTGGATCAGATAAAGAAACTAAAGATAAAGCAGAAAGAGCGCGTGAAGATTTTGCCGAAGCTTTGAAGAGAAAGGCTAAAATGAATAAACCTATGGAACCTTTCGAACATAAATCAAACAAACTTTCGGAATTTTGGACGAGAAAAGATAATGTTAATGATGATGAATTCATGGCAGATGCTTCCCGTAAAATAATACCACCGGATTTTTATACAGTATACGAACGAATAAGGCAAGATGGGTATCCGGTAAGTTATAGTCAGGGATATTTTATAATTTCTATTTTATTGCTAAAGTCCCTAACATTACATTTTAATTTATGATTTTATGTAGCCAGAGATAGGGTTTACCTTAGATCCATCAGATACAGTAGAAGAGAAGGAAATAAAAGAAAAATGTTGGGTAATTAATCACTTTTACGTTTGGAACGGTTTAAATTGGAATAAAATCATTATTATTTGTGGCAGATTAAAATGAAATTTTGCATAGTACAAAATCGCCAAGCCACGAATAATACAAAATTTTGGGGTATAATTTATAGTAAATAGATATACAATCTACCCTCGTTATAACGTAGTGATCGAGCTGAGAAATTCTGTCCGGTATAATGAATATCCGCTATAGCGTTATATATTAATAAAAATTTTAAATTGTTCTAAAGAATTACTCCGTTATAATGAGGGTAGACTGTAAATTGGTTTTAGGAGGATAAATAGAAACCCCAAATTTCATTTTAATCCGATTTAATATGATCCGCGACATTATTTATCCAATATAATAACATTATTTATCCGATACAATAACTATATATTAGGTAAACAAATGGTTTGCTTTGAGAACCGCTAGACATCATTATTTACTTCATTTTAACAAACCGGTCAAAAAAGATGCGAAACTTAAAAATGCAAAGGAAGATGAAGAAAAGAAAGATGATGTAGAAGCTTTGAAGATGTTGATTGATGAAAATCCTACTTGTAGTAGTGGCATCGTCACGAAAAAGTGAAAGGTTAAGAAAAATGAATAAGTTTTGTAACTAGCACAAAAATGGATAAAGGAAATGCGTTTTCCTTATAATAAAGGTAGACTTCTATGTATGTCTCGAATAAGTGCTTGATATCTCTAGCATTAGCAATAGAGTTTCGTTCGCACATGACTGATCTGCAATCTGGCAGAATTGGTCATTTTAAATTTAGATCGTCAAATCTAATACGAATACAGACTTTTCTAAAGTTGAATTTCATATTGGCCTAATTACATAGTGCAGGTTATATAATGATAACCACTAATTCAAATTTTTATAATAAAATTTTTTGGCCATATTAAACCAAAAAAAAAATTTAATTTATTATGTTTTAATTTCTCGCGGTACTTAATATTTTTTATATCGTAATAATGTTAGGATTAAGACTGCATAAAAATTGATTTTTTGTTTAATATAATTTTTCTATTTTTTAAAAATGAAAAGTTATATTTATAACACCATGTTACATAACACCCTACTATTAAACTAAGCACAGGTTTTTTTCGTAGTTTTACCGGCTGCCCTTGCGTCGGAAGTGCGTCAGGAGTACGTCGAGCGTAACCCGGGTTTACATGAGGAGAACATCTTCCTGCGTTGCGAACATGAAGTAAAATTTTCCAATTATATAATATAATTGGAAATTTTACTTTGTGTTCGCAACGCAGGAAGATGCTCTCCTCATGTAAACCCGGGTTACGCTCGACGTACTCCTGACGCACTTCCGACGCAAGGGCAGCCGGTAAAACTACGAAAAAAACCTGTGCTATTAAACTATATGTTTACCCTAACTCTAACTCAGACCAATACATATTTTACTATAGGTGTTATATAATACCGGTGTTATGAATATAATTTTTCTTTAAAAAAACCTTTATATTAATCAGTTAAATTGTAGTATTAACTTAATATTTTTAGATTTTAGTATCTTTTACAAGGTAGTTGTTTAATTAACAACATACTGTATTATATATTTTTAAAAATAAGTTACAGTCGGCCGACATGTCGTTTACAATTGCAGACTTATTGATCAAATTAATTGACGTACTTAAATTTTATAAGGAAATTTATAAAAAAAAACTTTTATTTATAAATTTCATTGAAATTAAAATAAAAATCAATTTAAAATTTTAGATACTTATTCTTGAGTTCCTGAAGA